GGGGGGGTCCGGTCGTGGGGCCTGAACTCTGGGCCTGGGCGCTGTCCCTCAGCCCTTCAGCTCAAGATGAGTGCTCTACCACTTGAGCCACAGCCCCACTTCCGGCTTTTTTCTGCTTATGTGGTGCTGAGGAATCGAACCCAGGGCCTCATGCGTGCAAGGCAAGCACTGTACTACTGAGCCACCTTCCCAGCCCCTTTCTCTCTCTTTCTCTTTCTTTCTTTCTTTCTCTCTCTCTCTTTCTTTCTTACCTTCCTTCTTCCTTCCTTCTTTCCTTCCTTCCTTCCTTCCTTCCTTGTGGCACTGGGGTGTGAAATTAGGGCCTTAATCTAGCTACACTGCTGTTCTACCACTTGAACCCATTTTGCTTTTGTCATTTTTCAAATAGTCTCACTTTTTGCCTAGGTCATATTCCTACTATTTATGCTTTTCACACAGGGGGATCACAGGTGTGCACCACCATGCCCAGATCTTTATTGGTCAAGATGGAGTCTTCATGACTTTTTGCTTTTGCAGAATTGAACCCACCTCCATAGTAGCTAGGATTACAGACATGAGCCACCACCCACCGGGTCCATAGTAAGTCATGGTCTTGCACTTCTGGGAGCTACCACCAGAGGGCAGACCCTGACCTCCCACCAGGACCACAGAAAACCAGCAAGTTTGAGGGTCTCTTCCCAGAAGGAATCTCTATAGACAAGTTAGCAGCCCAGCATCTAAGAAAGATCCTAAAAAGGGGACTCAAATTCTTTAGCCTCGCTGGGCTGAGATAACTAGTGAGGACATTTGGGGCTGTGTCCAAATTTAGGTAAGCTTGGGCAAGTTACTGGGTTTCTCTGACCCTGAGATTTCATGCTCATTTCTAAAGCAGTGTCTATGATACAAAACATTCTCCACAAGCCAACCTGTGGCTGGCACAAAGCTCACATGACAGCCCCAAAACATGGCGTTATTCTCATCACCCACACTTGATGAAGTGCAGGGAACTAAAATGCAAGGTTAAGTAATGTTTAAACTCAATCTGCTATCTGGGCTCGAGTGGCTCACACCTGTAATCTTAGCTACTCACAAGGCTGAGATCTGAGGTTCATGGTTTGAAGCTAGTCGGGGCAGTAAAGTCCATGAGACTCTTGTTTTTTTTTGTTGTTGTTGTTGGTCATGGGGCTTGAACTCTGGGCTTGGGTGCTGTCCCTGTACTCTTCATCTCAAGGCGAGCGCTCTACCACTTGAGCCACAGCACCACTTCCAGTTTTCTAGTGGTTTATTGGATATAAGAGTCTCAGAGTCTTATGGATTTTTCTGCCCGGGCTGGCTTTGAACCACAATCCTCAGAGCTCAGCCTCCTGAGTAGCTACAATTACAGGCATGAGCCACCGGCGCCAGCCTTGAAGGTATGATTTTGAAAGTCACTATTCGCATTCTCAGGAAAGAGGACACACTCCGACAGCCAGGGCCTGGACTGGAGTGCCTCCTGGCTCAGGGAGGGCTGGGCCTGGGGTGAGCAGGCCTCGCTTGGAACCATCCCTTCCGCCAGCTGCCTGGCTCAACTGATTCTGTTTTTAGCCTGTAATTCCAAGAAAACTCGGAGGGAATGGCATACACTGCATGTGTGAGTGTGTGTGCAGAGTGTGTGTGTGTGAGAGAGAGAGAGAGAGAAGGCAGAAGAAAGATGTCAGCAGCAGCAATGTCAGGAGTAGTAAAGACTCGGAAGGAGAAGAGATAAACTCATCCCTTCCTCTTACACGCGAGTATGTGCGCACGTACAAGCACGGTTCTGGTAGCAGCTGCTAGCCCGACACTCTGAAGTCATGCAGCAATTGGGTTTTGTTTTTGTATTGAGACAGGGTCTCATTATGTGGTTCAGTCTAGCTTCAAATCCAAGATCCTCCTGCTTCAGCCTCCTGACTGCTAGGATTACACATGGGTGCCACCACATCTGGCCTTAAATTGTTTATTGTATTTTACTAATACTAAACATAGCCAAAGTTGAAATGGAAACATTTCAACTGGCATATCATGCCAGAACTATAACTCAACTGGACATAGGGGTACTCACCTATAATCCCAGCACTTGGGAGGCTAAAAGCAGGAGAATGCTTTGATCCAGGGCCAGCCCGAGCTGCTCAGCAAGACCCATTCTCTTACCCTCTGCATGTCTATTCATTTCTTTGTTCTTAGAATCAAGTGGCACGTTTGCGGTTGCATCACTCAGGTTCACCTGGTCTTTAGCTTAGCAGAGATGATGGTGTGTGTCGCTTGGGTGGCAGAGGGACCAAAGGTTAAACCTCAGTACAAAAAAGAAAGGAAAGCCGGGCGCTGGTGGCTCACGTCTGTCATCCTAGCTACTCAGGAGGCTGAGATCTGAGGATCGAGGTTCAAAGCCAACCTGGGCAGGAAAGTCCATGAGACTCTTATCTTCAATAAACCACTAGAAAACCGGAAGTGGCGCTGTGACTCAAGTGGTAGAGCACTCACCTTGAGGTGAAGAGCTGAGGGACAGCGCCCAGGCCCAGAGTTCAAGCCCCACAACCAACCAAAAAAACGAAAGAAAGAAAGAGAAAGGAAGAAAGAGAAAGGAAGAAAGGTGCAAAGTGTATTGAAGTGGAGCCAGCTTGAGCGGAGCCCCATGCGAGGCCCGGCACCCCACCGCGTTCCTCCCCCTCCACAGGCAGGAAGGGGCTGGGAGAGACGGCGGTGGCCCAGGGGAGCTCCATGTTTTGCTCTCAGTGTTGTTTCACAGACTCCTGCACGCATGTGCACAACTGTGGAGCGGAATGGTGGGACCCCAGCATGGCCCCCAGGTTGTTGTGATGTCCCAGCCCCCCAGACTCCTGGACACTGCTCAGGGGCTGTCATGTCTCTCCCTTACTAGCATGCAGATATCGGGGAGCTAGTCCCCCACTGCTGTAAGCTTTCGGGTATTTGCATCACTTGGGGCCTGAAGCTGCCCCCACCGGGGTCCCCCGGCCCTCCGGTGCCCCCCAGCCCCGCCCCCCACTTGCCTTTGTTCTCCGGCTTGAGCTCCTCCTGCAGCAGGTCTGTTTGCCGGTTGCCCAGCACGAAGGCAAGGAAGGAGAGGATGAGCGCGTTGAGGATGCCGATGATGGCCAGGATGTACGCCCAGCGCACCGAACAGTCCCCCAGGGAGTACTTCCCTGTTTTGGCCCCGCACATGTCCCGGATCGTCTCGGCGTCCCAGCCGTCAGGGAAGATCATGCAGCCCAGAACAAGGCACAGAGCTGGGCAGAGAAGCGGGGCCACCACCGCAGTCAGGAAGGAAGAGAAGGGATCGTTACTCCAGGGGCCTGGGCACCCTGGAGCGGCCTGCCTCCTCCCCAGGTCCCAGCCCCTCCCACCTCCAGCAGTGTGGCCCCCACACCAGTCCTTCCCGTGGTCCAGCACCAGTCCTCCCCGTGGTCCAGCACCAGTCCTCCCCGTGGTCCAGCACCAGTCCTCCCCGTGGCCCCCACACCAGTCCTCCCCGTGGCCCCCACACCAGTCCTCCCCGTGGTCCAGCACCAGTCCTCCCCGTGGTCCAGCACCAGTCCTCCCCGTGGCCCAGCGCCAGTCCTCCCCGTGGTCCAGCGCCAGTCCTCCCCGTGGCCCCCACACCAGTCCTCCCCGTGGCCCCCACACCAGTCCTCCCCGTGGTCCAGCACCAGTCCTCCCCGTGGCCCCCACACCAGTCCTCCCCGTGGTCCAGCACCAGTCCTTCCCGTGGCCCCCACACCAGTCCTCCCCGTGGCCCCCA